TAGGGTTTAGAGTTTGGGGTTATATTATACTGTAACGTACTGTAAGATGCCATAAGATAGTATAACATACTGTAGTGTACCATGATATACTGCGACATACTACGATACACTACAACCTACTATAATAAACTATAACATGCTATATAGTTTAGAGCTTCGGGCTCTTCTCAGTACTGCGCGCTGAAAGCTCTTCAGGATCAGACTTCCCGAATTCGAATCAAGCAATATCCCTTGTGATCGTCCCTGTATGATGATTGTACGGTTATGGTATATAAATCTGCATTACCCATAATAATGAATATACCATAATTCCGATAGTTTAGAGACCTTAAGGAAATGCAGGATTCACATCATCAACAGTATCATGCACCTCAAACCCATACTCGGATCATTAAGGCCCCAGCTGTCTGGTTGGAGGATCCCTCGTTCTCTTTGTCATCCTCACCTCAGCTGGATCACCCCCCGAAATCACCAACATACCCCCCAAAGGCCTACCGTGCAGGAACCAGTCGGAGGCAAATTGGTCCAAGCCGTGGGCTTTGAGCATTAGGTCCAAAGCAGCCCCCTAAACCCTAAACCCTAAACCCCAAAGCAGCCAAGAAGGCTGTCTTCATCCAGCTCATCGGCGTCGTCGTCCTCGTCCAGCTCGTCAACAGGCGGGCGCTCGCCTCTCGTTGCGTCGTTCCACTCGCTCATTACTTCTACTGTAACTAACTCCTACTGGTGCTGCTCTGTGCGTTGATCATGCTTATCTGATTCTTCCTGCTGATGCCATGCTTCTGCTGGCTGTCACACTGCTGTTGTCATGTAGGCTTGTTCCTGCCGACGCGGTGAAACATGTTGACATGCCCTGTTTTGTTGCTGACGAGGTGGCGATTACGATGGTGGAGCAGGAGAGCGTGCAAATAAACCCAGAACCCCTATGGGATTTAGGGTTTCGGGTTTAGACACCAAATTCAACCCTAAAGCCTAAAACCTAAAACCTAAACCCTACTATAACTCGAAGCTTCCAGCTCCGAAATTATGCTTTGCAGCAGCCGTCATGTCGGAGCCAATACGATTACAATGGCATTCCTTTTAGGGTTCTTTGCAGGTCTCTTTAAGGATTACTCTACAGTTGATATAAGGCTTCTGTGTTCGAGGGGCTTCTTTAAATGACTAGAATAGCATTTTGGTGGTATAGAGGAGTTTACTTATGATAAGGAACCTGGCTATCAATACAACTCAACAGCACAGAGCTTGCTTGGTAAAGTCTCCGGTACACCGACTCGCACCTCTCTCCTGTGAGAAACGCTGTGGACCTATTCAACACAAGCCCTGCAACTTGCGAGATATTCCGTACTTAGCGGCCTAAACCCTAAACCCTAAACCCTAAACCCCTAAACCCCTAAACCCTAACCCTCACCCTCATAGCTGAAAGCTGCACTATGCATCTCTCGGCAACACCCGTTGCAAGGTCGAACTGTCCGAGGGCTCCTCGTCGTGCTCGCAAAAAAAGGTAAGCACAAACCACGAGAGGTACTGTTGATGATATAAACCCTGCATTACCTTAAGGACCCTAAACTATGGGAATTATGGTATATTCCTTATTATGGGTAATGCAGGATTTATACCATCAACCGTAGTAGTGATGGTTGTGAGAAGTAGTCGTAGCAACAATATGGCAGCGGCAGCCATAGCGGTAGCGGTAGCGGTAATGACCGGTAGTGGTAGTGACCGGTAGTGGTAGTCTGGTAGTGGTATATAGTCATCCCCATCGCAGCCCAGAATGCTTTTCCGGCAAGCCAGATCCACCTCTTGAGGTTTGGCGCTGCAGGCCCAAGCAAGCCTCGCGCCTCTGCGAATTTAGCCATGCACATCAGGGCGCATCTCCAAACAAGATGAAGTCCACTGCTCTTGCGACCCCACCACTCCGAGCCATCTGATGGCTCAGCTCCCCAGCTGCAAGCCGGAAGGAGTTCTCAGGCTCAAGCATCTGCCGAACAGCCGACCGGAGAGCTGTTGGCGACAAAGTTTCACTGGGGAATTTGAAGGACGCGGCCGCACCAGTGTCCACCAAAGCATCGGCATTGAAAGGCTGGTCGTGGAACATTGGCACGATCACTAACGGCACGGCCAAAGCAATCGCCTCGTGGAGGCTGTTGGCTCCCCCATGTGTAATGAAGACATCGCACTTTTGAAGCACCTGCAGCTGCGGTACAACTTCTTGGAGAATGAAGTTCTCAGGAGCGGGAGGGAGACCCTCGAGCGCATCGACCTGGGGTCCAACGGCTGCGACAACTAAGATATCCTCTTCCTGCCCGAAGGCCTCGAATGCCACCTTGAGGACGAACTGGACAAACTCCTTGCCACTGAAAGCCTGCAAGCCATTGCTTTCGGCCGTGGGGCCAAACTTCCGTGCCCAGAATGACGAGGTTGCCACGCTCCCCATTGAAACGTAGATGACTTTTTTCGACCGCTGCCTGGCCTCATCGATGGTCTTCCAGGGCAGCTTCTTGTCCAGCTGCTCTGCCGAAGCCCAGGCATGTGAAATCCTCGATTCCTCCGAGGCGATCATGGGCCCGACACATCGAAAGGGCACCTTCGCGAGTCGCTCCTTTTGGAAGCTTGAGGAGGGAGGCGCAAACAAGCGCTCGACCGTCGCGACCGTGTTTCTGTCCATCGAATAGAACTCGCCGATGGTGCCATGCGCAAAGATGTCGATGCCGTACACCTGCTTGATTTCTTGCGCTGATCTTTGGACCACTGGATTCATCTCTAAAGATGCTTGAGAGCTCACCACACCAGGGCCGGTGAAAGTCAGCAGGCTAACTGATGGTATCTGCAACTGCTGGGCAACAACGAGGCCCTTGGGCAGCAGCAGGGGGTCGTACAAAATCAGCGACGGTCTCGGGTGCAGATTTTCCATGTCACTTAATAAGCTGGGGAGAATAGCAGCGGCCACGGGCACCGCACTAGCCGGGAAGAGGCAAGAAGTCTTCTCCAGACCAGGTAAGTACTTTGTTGCTTGCTCGTCCGTCAAGTCATGGGGCCTTTGCATTTG